TCTTGGGAAATGTTGGGGAGGATGAGTGTGGGGGATGAGTCCCATGGGGCTCCTCCCTCTCTAAGTCAAGCAGAGCAGGCACTCTTAGATCATGGTTCCCCATTTGCCTCCTGTTTAATGAAATGGCCCCCTCAGCGACTGATATGCCGCAATCTTCAAAAACACAGGTCCTTCCTGACTCATCTGTGAACCCCACTAATTCTCAGATGAATACATCAGCTTTACGCAGAAAGGACTGGGAAACCCACCAATGTGCTAATACTACTGGACAGCTTGTAAGTTCCATGATTCTACTTGCAAAAGACCATGGAAAGACTTCTGTCATCAGAGTTCTCTTCTTCCTCAGTTAGAAAAGTCCAGCACACTTGAAAGGCTTTCTTTCATGTCTCATTTGTGGATCTGAATACTGAATGTATGACGAGAGGACTGCCAGAAAAACTGTCATGTCAATAAGGTACAAGAAATCTTGACTTAATATCAGGATTAGAGATGGAAGCATCTGGGTGCAGAGAGGATTAGATTTAGTAAGAATTTATAAGCATGTCAGAGGCCTGTTTGGCTGTTTCATTATTTTCCTACATTCACCAATTTCTATTTTTGATTCTATCAGAAAAGTGGTAAGAAAAAACACTTCAAAATTAAAATGTATTACTTCAAAGACCCTGGTGAAGAGAGCTGCTATCTCTTGACCCCTCAGCATTAACATGCTGATTTTGAAGAAAACGCTCAAGGGCCAGCACAGTGACATAACAGGCTAAGCCTTTGCCTGTAGTGCTGGCAGCCCATATGGACACCAGTTCAAGTCTCAGTTCCACCTCCAAACCAGCTTCCTGCCTATGACCTGGGAAATAAATTCCTGGCTCTTTGCTTTGAATTGGCTCAGTTTGGGCTACTGTGACCATTTGGGGAATGGACCAGCAGTTGCAAGACCTCTCTCTCTCTCTCTCCTTATCTGTAAGACCTGCCTCTCGTGCTGAGACCATGCAGCTTTATGTGAGCCCACGAGCACACAGGAGAGGTCCTCACTTAGGTCTGCACCTGGGAAGAGCTGCTCCGGGAGCTCAGCCACAAAACACCTGGAAACATCTTTCAACAATCGACATTTACCAACATTTGAAAATCAGAAGCTCCTAGAGCTCAGAAGTGTTTCTCCAAAGGTATGTCCCCAGATAATCTTAGGAGAGCATTCAGGGAGTAGGAAAGAAAAAAAAAAAAAGTATTGAATTTGGAGTCAAAGTTCCCGAGTTTAAATCAAGGTCCAGGACTTGAGACTGACTGCTCTACGGTCTCAAAACTGCTTTCATCACAGCTGGAAAGGCCACCATGATCACCCTCACCAACACCTGGAACACCGAGCAGACTGGTAACCAGACACTCAGAAGACGTTACCTCTCTCCCTGTGGACTGAGGGATCTAGGTGCTTGGAGAGAAACATGGTATAATATGCAGTACTCAAGGAATTTACAACAATTTGCAAGGCAAAAGTTCTCTTGTGCAGCTCTGCATAGCGCGGTCAGCTAATCTCTAGAAACAGTGCAGAGAATGACTATGTGGGCAGAGGCGGTAAGGAAAGGCTTCCTGCGGAAGACAGGATTTGAGTTAGGCCTTTGGGAATGGGAATTAGAAGAAGCAGAAAAACCAAGAGGGTCTGGCAGGCCAAGAGAGCAGATACAAAAGCAGCAGCTGAATGGCAACAACGTGGGCAAGCACATTCAGGTAATGTCATAACACCTGCTTTTCTGGGGACCTTTCTGCACTTCAGAATGGCTAAACCTAAGGGTTTCTGCTATGAGGTGATGGGTCTTAAATGCCGGGGTATGGAAGGGGCTTTTATCCTATGGATAATGGGAAGCCGGTGAAGGTTTGCAAGCAGCAAGGAGCACAGCCAAATATCATCTAGAAAGCTCCCAAGTATAGAACATTCACCCCGTGCTATGAGCCATGCTGCTGTGAAAAAATCCCTTTCATTATACTAATACTTAGTAAATCACTGAAGACCTACTTTAGAACTCCAAGGAAAACATTTTATGAATCAAAAGCTAAGTACAATATGTTAGCAATTAAATGAGATAACATAATAGCTGAGGCAGAACCACAGTTCTCCCCACCACGATTTCGGGCTGCTGCACAAAGAAATGCTTCCATCATCTTCCAAGTGATCAAGCCATTTTGTTTTGATTTTCAGAAGGCGGGGAGAGAGGAAGTGGAGAAGAGCGGGGAGGTCAAGAGGATTCCAAGCTGTCTATTCTTCAATCAGAGGGGATTATGAAAGAGAGTTAGGAAGGGGCTTTGCACAAAACAAAACCAGTTCTGGGATGGGTCTCAAGTTACTGGGACACCCTTCTCCAGAACAGCAGACCAAGGTGTGCAGTTGGGCGGCGGCCCACCAGCGCTCTCTGCCCAGGTTTCCGGTGCATACCTCCCACTGCTACTTTATTTACTGCAGCTGGCCAACGTTTTATAGCCTGTTTCATGTATTAAAATTCAAATGTGGAAAACATTACCAGTATCCTCCTTGAATTTTTTTTTGTTGTTGTTGGAGGGTGGGGGTGGGTTTTCTTCCCCACCCCACCCCCAACTTCCTTTTTACTGTGGAATGCATCAAATGGTCAAAGGCACACTTCAGATGAACTAAATTCACAAACCATTTCCTCTGTTCTTACAATTCATACTGGTTTGCACATTCAAAGATATGCCAACCTGGCCTCCTTCACATATATGGGCCCTGCAGGCTGGACAGCTCGGGCTCTGGATGCACCGAATGGGTTTCCAGCACAAGGCAGAAGGCTGAAGCGGCCCTGGATGGTTGCAAAGTGTGGCAGGCTGCTGACAGTCACGGCCCTGGAGGTCCCCTATCATTTAACTGTCCCTGCTGTTGACCTTGAAGGAACAATAAACATCTTTAGAGCAGTGAATAGAACCTTTTCTTCATCAGCCAACCTGGCAGTTTTTATTGCCTCTGTGTGATTGATTCAAAACTCACCATTTCCCTTTTCCAATTTGTCAGTTTCGTTCTCTCCCTTTCCTAACTTTCCACCTCCAAGACCAAATCCAGCCTCTTCCTCTCCCCTCACCTTTCAATCCAATGCCAGAAGAAGATAACTCAGAGGTCAGATCGCTCCACAGCACGTCAGGTAGACTTTAATATTTTCAAGAACACACTTAGCCTACATCTGGCATTAAAGACAAACTACACATTCACGGGAAAGACCCTCATCCTGAGCGTACAATTGCATTCGTTTAATGTATGCAAAATGAACGCAGTAAAGAAATTAAACGACTTTTCTCCTGATTGAGAGCAGATATACAGAAATGGTTCTAAGTTATAGATCTGGTTCTTAATAAAGCCAGATTTCTTAATTAGAAGCAGTATTGTTTAAACATCACAGTTTTAAAAAAAAGGAGCGTACAAACGAAAATCTCATAGTATGTACATCCCAAGAGTGTTTAACATGTTACCTGAGGCCAAACTAAATTAAAATCTAGGCTTTCCTTTTGTAAACTCTCAGCAACTGCCATGAAAAGACAAACAATTTTTAGTCAGTGATGAATTTTTAGGGTAGAGGTCAAAGAAAAGAAAAAAAGGAAAAAGAAAATTTAGATTTGGCATTCAAAAATATCTTTCCACATTTTAGGCGTGAGTGAGTTCATTGCTTCTATTTATATATCAGTATTTTTGGCTTCAAATTGGTTACAGTTTTCAATATTATGCCACTTAGGAGGGTACTTTCAATGTTAGTCTTTTGTTAAGAAAAATTGAAAGGACAAAATAGTGTTGATCAAGAACTTAAAGGACCTCATAAAAATGTGTTACCTATTTTGCATTTTCTTTTGAAAGCATCATTAAGGCTGAGATGCCCCCCCAACGAGAGAGGACAGGCCTCTACCCCAGAGCTGGACAAGGGCTTGGCCGGGCACTGAGGCTTCACTGACCAGTAGCGGCTTTGAGGAGTGGAATTGTGCAGACTCACGGCCAAAGCTGAACTCCTGACCTGCTCGGGTCATCACTTGCTATTTTGTCAAGAAGATTCCCTGAATCTTCAGAGCCATCCAAAAAAGGGATGCTCTCCAACAGTAAACAGGCCCAACTGAAATTCCAATTGTTACATAAACAAATCAGCTTTACTACTATTCAAATAAGGACTCCAATAAAAAGTAGTGGGAAAACTCATCTATGCACTAAATAATGTCCCACACCACATGTTTACATAGACAAGAACCCAGTCTATTAGGACCACTTATCCTCTGAGCTGAAAGGCAGTATTTGGGGCCTTTCTGTATAAAAGAAACAGAAACACCACACATTCATATGAAAAAACCAGTAACATAACGTGAGCTTTAAGCTTTGTCCTTTGATAAAAGTCACTGAGATAAAAAAAATTTACAACGGCAAAGGTTAGTGATTCCCTCAAGGCTATGAATTTAAGTGAGGCAGGAACATGGGTCCACACAAGCACCAGCCTATGTCAGTTCACCAGAGCTTTCTGCAGAGCAGCCCAAGAGCAGAAACAGCCCAGGGATCCATCACTTGAGAACCAATCACGAGCACGTGGTATATCATGCAGTGGAATATTAGGCAATGAAAGCCAATGAAGCTCTCATTGGTGCTAGGAGATGGCCGACTCTCACAGACTGGGCTAAGTGACAAAAGACAGTGACAAATCTGCTGCAGCTATGTACAATATCCACAACAGGTGGCTCTACAGAAACTGAACATGCTTGGCAGCAGTTCAGGCTTGCAGGAACGACCATCTACTGGGTACAGGGCTGGGTGGATTCTTATGACAGGAGGCAAAAATGTTCTACAATTAGATCATGGTGGTGGTGGCAGTTATACAACAGCATCAATACACTAAAGCACATGAAATTGCACACTGTAAATGCGCAATTTATGTGTGAAGTGAATTCTTTCTCAGTAAGGCTGGTTACAAAAACCAAACAGTATCAGCATTTATCCTTGAAACTTTAATCCTACACAATGACAGAGGCTACACACTCACCATGAGCGAATGTCTGTTGGCTGACAGAAGGCCGGTTCCATACCCTGAGCCCAGACCACCCATGGCTCCATTATGAGAAGGTCCGATGATTCCATGCATGTCCCCATGACCACCGGGCATAGCTGTGGATGGGCCCACTGCATGATTCCGGAGAACGTGAATAGCATCATCCAGTCTTTCCAAACGATCTTCAATTCGGCTTTGCTGTTGGTTAATATATGATATGAAACTGGATTCAGGTCAAAGTGTATCCACAAGTCATGGAATTGAAACTTCAGTTGTTGACACAGTACACATTTTAGGTTTCTGACTATAGGTTTCCAATCAAGCTTACTGCCTTTAAACAATAATAAAAATAAATAGTATTCTTCCTAGAAAACTGGTGGAAGGCACTAGTGTTAAGATTACATTGTTATTTTTCCTGAACAAAGTAAATTCAGTCACTCCGAATTATTTTAAAAGAAAATTTAGTAAAGAAAAAAATACACACTGAATTTAAGGAACATTTTGGCAGGCAAGCACTAGAGAGCTAAAAAATTAACAATGGAAGAATTTATTTATTTAGCTTCCCATGGCACATGAAGCAAAGACAAATATCAAGAGAGATACAAGTAATTTCTTGTGCATCTTTTTTCACATTTCTCGCTTTTTATAATCAATGGCAATTTGTATATTTTTTATGTATACAAAGATGGTCACTGAAAGAAATCCACAAAAATTTGTCAATCAAACTGATACTGATTTTAAGAGTGAAGAATCACAAAAATTTGATTCAACTTCTAATTGATTAAGTCTTAATATGTAAGGGGGGTGAGAGAGAATGCTACTTCATATGATGGGAACCACCTGCTCTTTCTACATTCCAGTCATCAGCATCCTGGTTTCCCCCATTTTGGCAAGGATTTGGTAAAAGTGACATACAAATATGCATTTCTAAAAAACTGTGATCAATGATAACAGTAAATATTGTCCTCTGGTACGATATACCAACTCTCAGGTTCTCACGCAACATGAGTACAGTAGGCAGGAAAGACACCCTTTCTATATAACATGTGAAAACTAGTCACTGTGTCCCAACGCAGGAAATAGGGCTAAAATCTAAGTGTTTTGACTTTGAATCTATAACCTCTTTATGTTAGATCAACCTACACTCTCCAAGTGCTAACACGCTGTGTAAACAGATGCAGCAGCTCCAATGCATGAGAAAAACAACGTCTAAATTATTCTATACCAAATGGAAGAATGTGTGTCTAACAGAGTTCTTCTACGGTCTAACGCATTTAACGCATTTTGATGTGGTGGGTTAGAGTTAAACGACCTCCCAGAGATGGCTAGCTCTGCTGCTTCCTTGTCTTCGCAGTCACAGTTTTTAATTGAGAAAAAGAGGAATGATACACACACTTGCACGTGCCAAGGGAAGCTGGGAGAGAAACTGCATGTAACTAGCATAGTTGCTGACTTAGCTTCCTTACAATGAGTTTATGTTTGTGAAAACGTTCTGGAGTATTCAGAATTCAAAACAATTGAAAGTGTGTTCCACAACTCTAAACCTTGTGATTCAACAGATGGACAAAGCTTGCTTTAGTGGGTGGGCCCCAGGGAATACGCAGGGAGGGCAACATGAAGCAGGGCAATGGATTATTTGGATGTGGTCTGCAGGATGTTGAGCTGGGCTGGGCACATGTCAGCTCTCTGAGTGACAAAATACAGAGCTGAAAGACTTGCTCATGACGGCAAGGAAGAGCCCAAGAGAGGGGCCCTCATCTTTGCATTTTCATGTTTTAGATTTTTTTCCCCTTTCATTTAGAGAGTGAGCTGAAAGGGAAGAATCACCGAGGAAACAACATTACATCAGATACAAAAATCTATGCCTTCCTTATGTTGCTTCTCAAACTTTGGGAGAAGAATGGGAAAGAAAAAGTCAACCCTGAAGGACTAAAAGGGTCTTTCCCGCGAGCAGTCTCTGTTCTCAACCGATTCGCTTGGAGATTAAAGGCAGCGCACACCAGTGTGGGTTTCAAGGCCCATGCAGTGTGAGTCGAAAAAGACTAAAGATGTCAGACATCAAATCGTCACACAAGAATTTATGCCCATGGAAATTCAGCTACTGCCTGCTGGAGGAGGAGATAACCAGCACCGCCCCCGCCTTAGCCACAGGTTCAGCAGGAGCTTCCTGTACACCTGTGTCACGTGCTCTGGCCATGTGCCTGGGTGCAGCCCCAGCATCCTGATGTCAGGACAATGAGTTAATCAACGGCAGAAATCTTCCTGAAGATGAGAAGGAGGCCTTGTTCTCCTGAGATTCTTAATCTCTAATGTAGTGCTAGATATTTTTGAGCCCTGGGGCTTTCCCTGCAGTTGTATCTCAGTTAGCATCTACAAACAGGAACAAGCAGCCTCACAAGATCAAGTGTCTGGGCTTAACGGTGACCTGAAGTCACCACAGGGAAAAGAAAGAAGCTTTGAGAGCAATATGGATACAAAATAGAAAACCAGATGTGGAGATGGCGAGAGAGGACTGGCAGGTGCAGCATACCAAAGAGTGTAAGGGTCCCTCGTAGTTGGGAGAGGAGGAGGCCTGTCCTCCGTTTCTGGACCACACAGCCGTGCCTGCTGAGAGCAAAGGGGAATGTCAGTTAGAGCAACATCCACTTCACAAGAAACTCCCTCAGCCTGCAACTGCCCCTTTAGAAACAGCAATGCTGATTGTCATTTAGGCAATACCATAGATGCATGCACTTGTGGACAAGGAAAACACTTTCAATATCAAATATGCAGATGTTATATAAGACTGCCCAGCTCCTCCACACTGCCTCCTCAAAGGGACCATGTGACTCGTCCTGGCTTCAGCTAGTTGGGCTGTTGCACTAGGAACACTGCAGCTATTCGGTCTGAAGACCTCTAAGAGTGTGAAGCAAAGAAGTGTCATTCCTTTACACAGGGACAGTTTATGTTGCACCAAATTTCTCTCACCAACGGAAACAGCTTTGCTCTGTGTTTAAATAATGACCTTTAAAATGAGATAAACCTTTAGAAACCCTTTTTGGGAGTCAGATCAGTCAACAGCATTCACTAAACCAGAATTTTTAAAATTCTATACATCAGTAACAACTAAGTAGTTTCTTCCGATGAAAATCATTTTTTTATGATTCACTAAACTTAAAGATTCTGGTGCTTTCCATGTCTAACCTATGAAATAAAAACCACTTTTATATTTAAATGTCCACAAATTCAGGGTAGAAAACTCCGAAAATACATTATTCACAAAGGGATAATATAATAGCTATGGCTTCCCTGAAATCTCATAGCCTGACACTTTTCAAATCCATTCTTCCTGTCTTTCTGGGTGGGCCTGAGTATTTTTATGTTAAATAAAAATAGGAAATTTTGTCCAATTATTTTTCTTGATAGAATCTGGATGGAGTTGTCGGTGTGAAAATAGCAATCTGTCCTCCTATTTATATCTTCATAAAAGTTCTTTCTTTCTAACATGTGGTCTTCCATGAGGCATTACAGGAGCCAAAAGGCAGCTTCTCCAGCCTCAGCTCTGCGCCTTCTAGCTTTAGCACGCTGAACGCATTTATGGTGTTCCCCAAGAAATGTGTCCTTTCCAATGAAGGCATTAGTCTATATGGGTTACTCTCAAATTTTATTAGCTCACACAACTGTTTTATTTTCTCCAAAGTAGCAAACAATGTTAGCAGAGCTGCTGTAACTGAGATGGCGAATACGGCTCCCACGTGCTCTCTGCTCTGGTTCTCTCGATTCCCCGGCCCCCGTGATTCTCTGCTCTCGGACACCGACACCTTAGGTCATCTTCAGGGTCGATGAGCCTGGTGCTTTTTCTTTTCCATCATGGAGAAGGTTGAGCTATGTTTCTTACAGGTTTAGCCTTGTCTCTTATTATCCTCCCATATGATGGGGACTTGGAAATGGCTGATATTAAACCCACCAAAGCCACAGTCGTCACTTTTGTACCAATTTGAAATTGTTAGGTTTCAGGAAACCGAGCTCTAGGGCACCAGGTTCTAACGGGCCCAGGGGTACTGTATGCGGAAAAGGATACACAGCTTGAAGAATCAACATTTAGGCAAGGGGCTGCACTAGAAATGACAGTAAGGCCGGGAGTAAGGTTGAGTTTCAATCAGATATAGATGCGAGTTGGGGTTTTTCCAGAAACCACCTGGCCTCTTCCCAAAGAGCAGAGCACATGCCAGGAGAGGTCTGCACGGAGGCAGGGAGGGACAGGACGTCTCTTCACTGACATAGTTGGATAAATCATAATTATTCAGTGTTTAACCATAGGTCATGCCGATTTGCTATACTTGCATCCCCTTAATGTCTCACATTTACTTCAAAACTTATTTACAAAATTATAGTTTTCTCCCCAAATCCCAATGACATTAACTTTAAAAAGGGAAGATTTGGAAAACCTACAATTTCCGCAGGAAATGATCCCTTTAAATCATCTGTAATCAATGATTATGCAATCTATATTCATACTCATGACTATATTAACTAATTTTTTTCATTGGAGATTCTATTGGAATACGTTTTTCTGCTGTTGGGTGTCTCTTGAAGAACTAGAAAAAGTTAAAGAAATAGCCTTTTGGTATGTTTAGGTAGTTAAAAAAAATCATTTTGCGGGGGAAGGGTTAGACTTATTTTTATTTACATGGAAAAGTTACAGAAAAGACTGAAAGAGAGATCTTCTACCCACTTAGTCACTCCCCAAACTGCTGCGACAGCCAGAGCTGAGCCTTCAGAAGCCAGGAGTCAGGAGGTTCTTCAGGGTCTCCCACATGGGTACAGGGACCTAAAGACTCGGGTCATCCTCTGCTTCTTTCTCTGACTATAAGCAGTGGAGGAGCCAAACCTGTGCCTACAAGAGATGCTAGCACTGCAGATAGAGGCTTAGTCTACTAGGCCGTGGTGCCAGTTCCACATCAACTAATTCTTAAAAAAGTTTTAGCTAGTTTATCTGTTCCTCCTACCCCATTTGTACGGGGATGTGAGAGTTTGAGGTTCAGTCAGAGTAGTGAGTTTGCAAACTTTAGAAAAGCAAGTACCAAAAGAATCTTCATATAAACGATTACCATGATGGAATGAGATGTGGACACAGTACCTGAGAGTGAAGGTGGAGAGCCAACAGGAGTCGAAGGGTTTGAGGAGAAGCTGTTGTTAGTGTGATCTGGAGAATAGATCTTGAAATAGTGGGAGAAAACAACAAGGCAGTCACTCATCAGGAGTAAGCATGTTCTGATTAAGCTACAAGACTGTCAGTGTCCCTCACTCAGAATTTCCTAGCTATAAAACAGATGCAACAATCAACCCTATATTCTATGATGAAAAACCTCACACTTTATTTTTTCAAAGTAAGACTTACTGAGCAGGCACAGGATGGTGGGAAAAAGAACTGGGTCGTGGTCAGCTGACTTTGGTTCTAACCCTTTTCCTACTAGTAACTGGCTGTGTAGCAATGGGCAAGCCACAGAGCCACGCTCCACTTCTCTCTTCATCCACAAAACATCTATGCTTTCCCCCAACTCTTTTACTATAATGACGGCATTTGACTACACGGAATGAGAAGGCCCATATTAAATAATTTTTTTTCAATTTAGGGCACAAAGCTGATATTATTTTATGTTCCTAATGGCAAGGAAAAACCAATTAAAAAGTCAACATCTTAGAGCAACAAATCTGCACCTCCATATTCAGGGGTCCGGAATGAGCCTTTGAAGTAAACACTAGTCTGCTCACAGAAAATGAGGTGTCCTGCCTCGTCAGTGGGAAGTGGACTAGAAATGTTGAAGTCCCTCTTTCTGATAGACGGTGAGCGGAGAAATGGAGGCGTCGATGACTGACATGCGAGTGACATGCCAGCTCCTGGTGGACCTCAGCTGTTGCTATCTCCTGCATTCAAATGCCTTTTCCCAAGTGTTTTACAATGGTCCCTTCCAAGTCAGGCTTAGCTGGTCACTGAGCACCTATGGTACTCTGAAGAGAAATCTGCCAGAAAAAACTATGAATCCCCAGGCCTGCAGGAAATCACCAGCGCTGAGAGGACAAACCAGCGGCAGCCAGCTGTGCACTGGAAGCTTCTGAGCTTTCTACACCCGATTTCCAACAATAGCCACGCAATATGCAGCTAGCGTTTTCCAAAATCAAACTATCTCTCCTTCATTTTTTAAAATGTCCAAATGTCCACTTCTGATTAAAGTTCACCCTTCCACAATGGTGCTTGCGGAGTCCAAGGTCAATATTTCCTTACCGAAGCAAGTGCTTTCCCCAGGGCATCTCCAGTCTGGGAGCTGCCTGCTGCCCCGCTTCCTCTGTTTGCTGCAAAAACAAAAGACAGAATATGAACACCAGGCAGTAAGATGTCTAACAGTTTTCTATTCGTGGTCCATTTACTCACAATTTAATTGCATTTTTAATGCTAATTACAACACATTAATCTTTAATTAGCCTTAATTTGTTTGCTGAGGTACATGTCAAATATATTCATGTTACATTTTTTTACAGATAAAATACAAACTTGACACCTTGATTTAAAGACAATGTATTTCAGTTCACTATTACTTTTCCCTTTGTTGTTTGTACGGAGAACAGTATGTGAGCTGTGCTTGACAGTCATTTCTTAGAAGTATTTGGTACTTTTAGGTCTCTGAAGTTCCCAAACTTTGGCTTTCCTTTATATTTTTAATGCTGTGAATGAATTATCTTCATAGACAATTTATGTGATTTAACACAGATCAAAATGGGTATTCGTTTTAGAATTCCCGAGTTAAGATAAATTAAAAAAATCTGTAAAACTGGCTAACAGAAACACACACACACACACACACATTTAATTGAGAGACAGAGGAACAAAGAGCAGAAAGTAGAGAGAATGAGAGCTCCATCCTCTGATTCACTCCCCACAACAGCGAGGACTACAGCCAGGTCCGGGAACTCAATCCAGGTTTCCAGGTGGGTGGCAGGGGAGTATACAGCTTGAGCCTTCCTCACTGCCTCCCAGGGTCTTCATTAGCAGGAAGCTTGGAGCCAGGAGCCAGAGTTAAGAACTGAACGGAGGCAATCTGATGTGGGACACAGATATCTTAACAGTCAAGCTAAATACTCCCTCCACTTTGAATATCTTAGATAACATATCCTCTATGTATTTCAGTTTGTGTTCACATTCAAAATACTTTGTTAGGTCACTAAAAGGTAATACGGTCTTAGATGCAAGAAGTAAAATAAACTTACATATTTATGAAGCTTGTCTCTATCACTTTTGTTTTTAATGTTCATTTGGTTTAAAGATGGGTTGGGGGAAGAGAGAGAGAGAGAGAGAAAGAGAGAATGTCCTATCTGTTGGGTTACTTCCAAATGCCTGCAAAAGTGTGGGCTAAATCAGGTTGAAACCAAAAAAATTTGGCACTCCACCCACGTCTTCCACATGGGCACCAGAGGCTCAAGTACTTCAGCATCATCTGCTGCTGCCTCCCACCCGAGGAACAGAAAGCCCAACTCGATGCAGAGTAGCTGGCTCAGAGCAGGGACTCCAAAATGGGATGTCAACTTTCTAAGGGGTGGTTTAAACACTGCGCTGTAACACCCAACCTGTACCATGTCAATTCAAAGCTAGTTCTCTTTGCCACATGCATGTAGAGCTCAGTGGTCCATTTGGCTAGCCAGGGTCCTGAGCCTTCCAGCGCTAATGCAGCCTCTTGGGATTTGGGCTAGCCTGTGTTGACAGAGGTTTCTGCATCAGCACATAAACACAGCATCTAAAACAAAGCTATTGCAGCTCCCGGGGAAGACATTTGTCACTATTTTGCAAGTCAAGTAAAGGAAGTCTCAAGTCAACTGATGAATCCAATTCTCCATTTCTGTTCTTGAACCAAGAGAACCCTTTCTGGAAACATACCAACATGATATGTAAAACAATATAGAGAATCCAGATGTCCAGTGGTCAAGCTCTCTGCTTCTCAGGTCATATTTTCATTCCCCTGATTTCTATTTAACTTAAATTACACTTGTTATATATCACACACACACACACACACACACACACACACACACACACATGCACACTGGCCATTTCATTCTTTTCTGATTTATATTTTACTTGATTTAATGAAAATCTACACCCATTCTTTATTGTTTAATTGCTGAAAATAGAGAAAACTGGAATATAAATAAAAAACACAATTGCCTTCTAAAAAACAAATCTGTTCTTTATTATAAATTCATATTTAAAAAAATAATGTGCTAATATTAAATATTATATGTACAAGGATAACCAAACCCACTGAAATGAGGATTTGATATAAAACGGAGTTAAAAAAGGGACTCAGCTATCCAGAGTATTAAAAATATTTAAAGAGAAAATGATAAAGATCTGAAAATGGAAACAGCATATAACTTTTTTAATGCGTTGCCATGACACTTCAGGGGTAATAACTTTTCCTGGCATATGCCTAGAAATTAGAGGTAGCGGCCAAAAGTAGTTTTGACATCTTCTTGATTTGAAAACAGATCTTCATGAAATGAAAGAACAGAACCACACTGGAAAACAGAAATCAAGTTATCTAACAAAGGACCTACACCAAACAAGAGTAAGACAATGTTTCAATTACAGATAAAGTTTGCTACAGTAGTAGCTGTCAAAAGACTAATTCTTCCTTTGAACGATTTTAAAATGAAGATTACATACTACAAATGCATTTTCCTTGTATTTTTCATTAAATCATAAAAAAGTTACAATCAAGAAAAATTTTAAGAGTAAATGTAATATATGTATATAGAATCACATTCTAGCAGGAGAGAAAATATAATCATTATGATTTTTTTAAAATACTACAGCTTCCTAAGGGAAACTATTAGTGTCCATTTTATCCAGGGAGGTACAAAAACTCAGAAAAGCACAATAAAAAAATCAACTGCTTACTTCATCTTGTCACGAAAATGTTTTAGAAAACTACAAGGGCTACTCATGGAAGTCACTGATAAGAAAGAACTATTTTTTAGCACGAAGCCATTTTACCTCGGAACAGCTGGAGAGCCAAACCCACGGGCTTACATTTCAAAGCATTTTACCGGGGCCGGGTTTCCCTTTCAGCTGGCATGCCCTTTGTTCAGTCCCGGAAAACACTGGAGCGGACACATTTGCTACGTGGGTTCTCTCGGGCAGATTTTCACCAAAGGGCACAAATCACCAGAAGGGAAAAGTAAGCTTCATTCTCAAATGGTAAAAATGGTTTTGCATTGAGAAATGGGTCATGTTTAGCAAAACACTGATCAAGTCTATATTTTTGGCTTTAATGTAATAGGACATAATTAGTATTCTCGGCTCAAGAGTTTTGGGATTGTCAAAACGCCCACGTAACAGAAACAAAGGTGAAACTATTGCCTTAACTGGTAGGGAACATATTGATCCCTTAAATTATTTTGCTGCTTATCAATTTGTCTTAGGAGAAAACAGAGTAGTCTTTAAGTAGAGCTGTAACACAAATGAACAGTCATCAGGAGGAACTATAATTTTGTAGAAGGATTCATCACTTTCCAGCTACCCAAGGATTGTTCCAAGAGCTTGCACAGGTGCTGCGGTTGGCTACAAAATGAAGCAGAAAGCAGGGTTTTGTGCTCGGGCTACAAATTGGACCACCCTGTGTCTCAATCCCAGCTTTGGGGAATGGCAGTTCCTGTGAGGACACACCCTCAGCAGCACTGCAGGCGGAGGGGTGCCTGGGGAGCAACCCCGGAAGACAGAGTTGGGAAAATGCATTCCCTCGTAGCACACCCTTCACCTCAGCCTGGGAATCTCCTTGGACACCAAAGCAACAGGACAAAAGCAACAGTCCTGTGGTTTGAGAGAAGCCAACTACAAAACCCATGAGGTTTCTATGAATTCTGTTGGAGCAACCCGTATGGGATTAAGCCACCGGAAGCAGCAGAAGAATGCCATGAGCTTATCTATCACGATGATACAGAAGGGAACAGTTTTAAATTAGCAGTACTTTCAGAAAAAAAACCTCAAATACATGCTGCAATGTACTAATTTTTATTGGGATGAATTCCTGGGAACTCAGGAGGAAATGGGTGGGGGTGTTCATAGAGGGGGGTGTACAGGAAACAGGGGCAAAAATTTAAACAAGTTCATTGTTCTCCACTGGTGGTCTCTCTGACTACAATGTCCTGACCTTCTGGATAAAATCCCCGTTAACCTGATGCACTGTGCCTATTCATCACCCAAGTGTATTCGAGGGCTCAAGATTCTTGTAAAATACAAAGTGAGTATTATGTGACTATTCTAATAACAAAATTACTGTGAAACCAAGTCCTCAAGGGGAAAAGGACATTATGTTTCTACTAGAAAAGCCACATCCTAAAATGTATCGTGTCGTACAAACATGTCATTAGAAGTGAAAGTTGTAAGGCAGATTAATCCATGAACCGAACAGATATTCAGGGTAATCTTTAGCACATGGTGCATTGCATCAATCTTGGTAGTCTGTTTCTTCAACATTGGTTTGGGGTTTAAAAACATGGGAAATAGCAAGCTTGAAAAAGCAGGCCAGTTAAAGACTAATAAAACAATAATAGTTATTATAACCATTATGTTAGTTACATGCAGAATTCCCTTCGAGGGAAAGAGAGGGTGTGTGGACTCAAACCACAAGGGTCACACCCTGAAAATGTATACAGATGGTAACTCCCAGTGGGGGGCTGTAGTGTTCTCATCCTGGAGTGGCAGGAGGTCCTCTCACTCCTTAGGATCAGGAAAGGCTACTGCACAGCACGGCAGGTAGACGGGAAATGCGTGGATAGCAAATTGTGAACTGCTACAATCCCGCAGACATTTCTGTTATCTAACATCCTACCACACTTCCACGCAAACAGGTTCCGGTGCAGCAGGACTGGGCTGGACTGCTGAAACATCCCAGCAGCAGCAAAACAAGGACAAGGCTGTGTCAATCAAGTGGAAGGGCTCTGAATCCAGCCCAGAATCCCACCTGACAGCTTCTTTCCCCAGCTGGGGACGCGGAGTAGGCCTGGCAGGGGTGCTCTTCCAGCACTGATGCGGATCTGACTAGATCTAGATTCAGAAATCCCTCCAGTTCATTGCTATCTCCAGAGCTTGTCAGCAAGGCTTGAGAGAAAAGCTGCGGAGTACATGCCACATGGAAAACATCTAACTCCACAGTTCTCGCAAAGATCCATGCGCAAATGTGTCATAAAAAAGAAGAAATACCCTCACTAATGCAATCTAACTGAACATTATCTTTCATAAGGGTTTCTCCAAAAAAAAAAAAAATGGTATTGGGCATTAAAGGCAGCGGTCTTCCTCCAAAAAGAAAAGAATGGCTTCCAAAGACATCACTGCTGTGTCAAAAAGACCGCACCCTGCCTTGCAGCTTTTCACGGAGACAACGTGAAAAATGTGACGTCCGTGCCTCAGGTCTCGCAGCTCATCCTCACGGCCTGAGTGTGGCTTGCAGCCGTTTTCGGCAGGATTGTGTATGTGATCTCAAACATGTGGCAGGCTATGTGTTCCCCATTTACCAATTATTTCATTAGCTCTGTTTGTCCTTTGAGAAACAGGCAACGTAATATTTCTTTATTTCCTGTATTTCAATAGGAGTGAGGCTATGCCAAATATTTTCCAAAGTCTACAGATGTATCCTATTAATCCATACAGTCTGTTGGGGGAAGTACCAGCATCATCAGAGGAGAAAGCTTCCCTTCAAGTTACACAGACATGCTGCATCGCCGGCTTTGACCACACTCTGAAAACCAAAGCGAAGCCCAGGAGAATCAGACTGTGGAAGCAACATGAGCCACCAGGACTCTGGGCAACACAAAGCCTCATTAATAAGCTTATTTTCCTCCGCATTTTCACTCAAGGAGTCGGAGAACGTGAGACAAATATCTGTAATACATTAAAGTAACATCTGCATTTATGCCAATTAATAATGGTCTGCTTCTCCACATCTAATTCCCGATGAGACCTTTTTCCATTCTGAAAGTGGATTTTGATAAGTACACTCATTATGATGAAATGATTTATGCAACGTATTCCCTACAATGCTCTATTTTGGGTGTCAAACATCTCTTTCCTCTTTTGAAACGATAGCTCTTCTTACAGGGTCTCACCTCTTACCCACAGCCCCGTGGCCTGTTGAGCATGAAGTCCACCCTTGGCATGCAGCTGAGCCCTTAGCACGTCCAAGGCTCCTCTCTTCCACTCTGCTGAGGTCTAGGAGTAAATGCTCCTGCTTCATCCTCAGCCACCCCAAGCAAGCAAATCCCCTTCTCACTGAGTCACAGGTACCCTAAATTTACATGAAGTGATTTCACACCATCTCAAGCAGGGTCTTTCTTCGCACTCAGGGTGCCTCCCTGCCAGCAAAGCTGCTTGGCAAATCAATCAACTCAAACATTGTCTGACTGTGTTTTCCTCTACTCAAGGTTTTGCTCCACCTTCATACCTTCCTAAAAAAGATGATTACTCAAACCACTAGCAGACAGGAAATCTGTCATGCAAGAGAATGAATGACCGGTCATCCTCCTTTGTATCAGGACCTCATGACTGCAGCAAGGGGCTTTCCATTTGTCAAACCGCATTGAAGTGAAATATGCTTTTCTCACTCTTTCAGTTCTGCACTTTTCTTTCTTTCTTCTTGTTTTTCAAATTGTCTAAACTGCAATAATAGTTAACAAAAATTTCACTTTGCAACCTCTGTCCACAGTGCCCCAAGGTCAAATGGATGCAACACATTTGTACGAGCTTTGTTTTGAAAAGTTACAAAAATGGAAACTCTTGCTAAATTGGTTACTTAGTGAGACATGAGAGCAGAGGGCCACCTGAGGGTTCATCTCAAGTGTGAAATAGATTACTGAATAAGCAGAGAGGGTATTTGTAACATTTGAAAACGCATCTCTTCTTCTTCATCAAAATCTCTCCCACACAAATGATTCCTACCACTTCCCAAAGTCCTACAAACAGACCTTCTACAGAAAAAGCAGAAACGGGGAAAAACTGATAGTGACCAACACAGCGGCACTCTCTAACAAGATCTCTCAGCAAACACACTGAGTGTTGTCACCAGTGACTCTCCGGCAGTGGTCTAGGTGCAAGGTAGGTGTGGGCAGAGCTAGAATCAGCTTGAGTGGCAGCCAGTGAAATCTGAGGCTTTAATAAGACCCTGGAGCATCAAGATGAATTGCTCAAGGTGAGCTGAAGGTCAAGGTTGTTGAGACAGATGCTGTGGCAGGGAGCCGCCTTCCCACCAACACAGCGTGTCCTCTGGATCTCATGTTTAGGCCTTCTCCTTAATGACCAAGTGCCGGTGGGGAAACCATCCTTCCCAGTGAAAGGATCAGAGTGCCATCTAAGCAATGAATGAGTGACCGTGCAACACAGCTTACTGCCAGCAGTGTTCTTGGTTTTAGTCATTAGCAACTCTGCCTGAAGGAAAGCTGCATATAATTTCTTGTCCATTGATGCTAACACATCTCTCCTCTTGGAAATGAGCAAACGCTTCTCTTGGGAAAGGCTCTGCAATGCCGCATTCCTCAGAAGGTCAAGCTCATCTAGTTATTAATACTCATCTGAGAATTCCACCTACATTTATCTTCTGAAGACAGTGGCACACCATAGTAAGAACTTCACATACTGACTGGTATTTGGGAAGTGGCCAGTAGCTACTATTAGGAGTTGTATATGTTCTGTCACAAGTCTCCCATGGCTCCTGTATGGAAAGCTCACACTGCTGCCTGGGAGTGTGAGAAGGGAACGTGGGTCTACTTGAACCCTATTCAATATAATGAGTCACAATGGACAAAGTGGCCAAATTTCAGTTTCTTGTGATAAAAAAGAAGGGACTTTTGGTCAAGCCAGTGATTTTTCTCCGTTTGGTTCATTTGTTTGCTCATTCAGTTGTGTGACAAGTATTTACTGCCTAATTGCTGCTCAGTTATGAGGAGGAAAATAGAGGTCCTTCATTATGCAAGCCTGACATTGACTGACTGTCAGAACGGGCATCTCTGTGACTCACCCATTATACTGTCTGTTCCGTTGGCGGGAGGTGTGCAGGAAGAGGTGCTGTAATGGTTTGTACCACTACGATGGAAAGTGGACATCGGAGGAAGACTGGAATTGATGTCTGCTGAGGAGTGTGATGGGTAGCTCTGCAGCAAGAAACACAAGAAGTAGGCCACTCAATCATAACATATTTAGCAAGTGAGTTTTCTAATACTTCTTTCAGAACTCTCCAGTTTGCAATGAAGACAGATTCTAGAATTTCAAAATAGCCAAGACAACATCTTGCTTAGATCTGACAGCTTTCATTTTTCAAATTAGAAAATACATAGATATCTAGTCAGTTTGGATTTGCATCAAATGAACAGAAATAAAATGATAATGTAGGACACAAGAAGCGATCATAACCTGTAAGATCCACACACCATTGCTTAATTTCATCTCTGCAAGCACAGCTCCGTCTCTACCATTATTGTTGGGTGGGTGGGGTATTTCTGTTGTTGTTGGAGCATGGCCTGTTGATCCAGTGGGGAAAAAAAAAAAGGCCGCTACAGAAAGAACAAAACAACCTCATGATTCACAGGTTTACATCACACTGCATCCTGATCTTCTGGACACAGAATGGTAAAAAAGGAAGTGGTGTCACTTCTGATTATGTTCCTCAATGCTAACAGCCAGAATGAAGAGGTCAATCAAAAAGTTAAAGCACGGATGATTACATAAATGTGTAAAGCATCAGTAAGTGAAACCTTAAGTCAATGAGTACATTGAGTTAAATCAGAACCGACAATAAGACACTTCAATGTGTTTTGTTTCTCACATGCCTTTTCTATTATGTCTATCATACAACTGGCAACTGGTGGGGAAGAAGTACACTCCCGCAGCATTATTTGATTGAAGGCTTCGGCTTGAGTGCAATTATTCTACTCGCTGGCTATACAAGCTACTTTTCCTGCGGTCCATGTCACAGTGCCTGCAGGGTGGGAGACTATTTGCTATCCATTCATCTGCTTGGAAATGAGACAGCATTATCAAGGACATGGTTATTTAGAAAGACAGCCAGAGATATTTCCTTTAGAAAATAAAAACTAGCTTAAAAGCTATTCTCATTGGTATTATGTAACTGTGTTATAGACATGAAAAGAACAAATATTTAAGCTAAAATATACGCTTTTTTCTCATATGTGATATAAAAGTGGGCTAGAATATGCATTATGTTAATAGAGATGCTACTGTAATTGTTTAATTTCAAATTAGACACTGAATACAATGCTGATGCTGGTACTTAAAGCCCAGCTTCTGTTCCAAGGAGCAAAACTCCAATTTCTATTTGCTTTGTGAGATCCATCTTGAGCTCTACTGTGTCCTTGATGATTCCCTTCCAACTTGCAGTTGACCACAACCTCGGCCCTGCGGCCCTAAGGCACTTCTGTTCTGCACTTAGCTAAGTCACCTTTTCCCACCCATCCATGGAGACTGTTCTGAGTACACCATTTGTGGCAGAGTACTGAACACAGTTAAGCTAAATGTTCAGAACAACTGGTTATCACTTAGCATTGAGTAAAATGGGGTGAAATATGACTATGTCAGAGATAATAATCCTGGAAATGAGTTTGTACTTCAGACCATGGTCTGCCAGTGACACGGTCGTGTACAAAAATATTACCTTGGTGTTCAAAACAGTCTGACTTAAAAGGCTTCAGTGAAAAAGCTGACATGATCCCCTTAAATCTTTCAAAGTTCCCAAGAATGCATTCCAAACTTCTTAATTTCATGGTTGTCTTTCCTTGACCAAAAGAATTCCTCAAGCCACCTATTAAATTCATTTCTACCTGTCCCATAAAAAATATGCCAAATAGTTCATGAAATTTTCTTCAAAGAATAATTGAATGGCCTCATCCTAAAGTACAGGCTACCTGAAAGACTGGATGAGACATGGACCAGTAAACTTAGATGACCAAGGGTACAGTTATTTCTGCTCTAGAACTAAAGTCTAATAAAGTGGAAAGGAAACAACAGAATCTAAAAAAGCAACATGAAAGATGTTTTTCAACTTTACTTCAATAGCCCTATTCGCTGCTGAGCTAGCTTCAGGAGTACAGACAAGGAGAAATCAATTTAAAAATTAAATAGCTATAGCAATCACAGTGTGAGGCACGAAAAATAACTGTGTCAGTGAGAATTTCTAGACCTGTTTAATTTTTCTGCAAAAATGGGGTTAAAATTTTGGGATCTGACAGACATTGGATTAATAATGAGTTAAAGACATAGGAAGAAAAATTAATTCCCACAGATCTTAATGAGCAGTCCAATACAAATCCATGTTAATCAGTTAGTTTTAGAGAATAATAAAAATGTATATGTTAAAAGATATGACATTACAATGAAACTATCTTGAAAACGACTGTCACGGAGATAATACAGTATAGATAACATAAGCGATATGTAAATTATGTCTCTTTTAGAGGGTTTGAGGGTCAACTTGACAGGCCCTTTTAAGTCTCTTATTCTAGTTATTAGTCTGTCCCACTTGCTACAAAGGCGAAGGGGAGTCTGATATATTGCCGTATCCTTATACACCCACTGCTTTTATTTTTTAATTTATGACCTTTGATAGTGTATCAAGAGTCAACTGATACAGAGCAAGTACTGAACATGTTTCAAATAATGACTTAAAAAAAAATCATCATCAGAGTCAATCAATAACATTAAAATTTCTGGGGCCGAATACTAAGCACAATGCTTTCAGCTCAGGCAGTGTTCCTGCCCGTGGTAATCTGAAACCTTTGTGCTCAATACCTCTTTGCTGTGGGACCTCCTTTGGCTTCACAGTACATGTACTGGTATCTGGGGCTTCTACCCAACAGATTCCAGCAGCACCACCACTACATGTCATCAGACATTACAAAATGTTTTTCCAAGGGCAAACTCATTCCTGGTTAGAATTACTGGGATGAGGGTTTCTGCCATAAAAATAAAAGGTAGCAGAAATCCTTTTGTTCTAAAGTTAGCAATTCTTAGGACTCCATCATTGTGTAATCCAAAAGACCAAGACTAAGGCCTGCCAGACAGGGAGGAGGCTATCTTATTTTTTTATATACAATGTTGCCAAGTCTTTGCAAACTTCAGTCTTCTGTACCAATCCAATGCAAAACCTGACCTCAATGTCTATTCTTCTGAGTGTCACAGATACACCCAGAGCCTGCTGTACAGACTGAATCTGGAAGTTTAAGATCAGTGATTTCACAGTCACAACTGAGCTATGTGGACATTAGCTTGAAGATTACTTATTCTGTGGTAACACGGTCTGAAGCGATGAGGACAATCATGCTTCTAACATGTGCGACCTTTAGAGATAAAACTAACTTGATCAAAGTAAACCCAAAACAATCCAGGGAAAGTGCTTCGTTCAGAAAGGAGAAAAACCACATGCAATGGGACTAAAATGCTAGCAGACCACCTTATTTTTAAGCAAAGGGTACTGAGAGCTATTGTGATTTGGAATTATTTTCCATCAGTGTCAGACTCCCCAAAGTCACTTCAGTGACCTTTTCAGATGGTTAAAGCCTGAAACTACAATGACAACTACATGGAACAACTGAATAATTTCAATCTTTGTGGGAAAACCCATTAGGATATAAAATCAGGCTCTCTACTCATTTGTCCAGTAAAACAAAAACTCTTCTAAATTTTGTTAACTGATGATATTAAGAGTGAAAACTGCATGTCTTATGATAGGTAAATGACAGTTACAGATATAGTTTCTAATGAAACTAAATGGGTTAATTTTTCAAAATGACCTTTCTTCCTACCTTTGGGTAACACTGCTTAGGCTTTTGTCCACACACCACCCCCACCCTTAAATAAAAATCAAATGACTAGCTTAAACAAAATGAAATTCCAACACATCTGCATTGTGCCCAAAACCTTTATCTGTAACCAAAATATGTGCTCATATGACACATACAGTTTTGATCATGAGTTCCTAAATAAGTGGAAAATGATGCCAGAGAAGTCAAAATGTAAGTTAAAAGAAATTCTAGTATAATAATAGCTAATATTTCTCAAAGCTTTCATTCTTATCCCTCTAAGTAGGAGGTGGAAGAGGAAGTTAGAAATAAGTCATTCACTACTTACTGAAAACGTACTGAAATTTGAGATATATGCTGACCTACACATGTGAACTCAGGAGATGAAACAAAAAGTCCAATTCTACCTTCACCTTTGCCTTTCCGGATTGTACAGAGTAATTGATTCTGTGATCTCTACAAATTTGTGACCACATAAAGATGTCTTTCCAAGGCTCAATCATATCAAAAATGTTTTGTTTATTTATTTAGAAAGAGAGAGAGAGGAGGGAGGAAGAAAGGGAAAAAGAGAGGGGAACAAATAGACTTCTTTTGGTCTACATCCCCAATGCCTGGCTGTGCTGAAAACAGGAGCTGGGACCTCGGTTCAGCTTTGCCACATGCATCGCAAAAAAACCAACTACATCAGCCATCACCACTGCTACCCAGGGTCTGTAATAGCAGAAAACTGGATTCAGGAACTTGAGCCATGTATTAAAACTGTATTCTCCAATACAGGGTGCAGCCAGCGTAGCCAGTAACCCAACTTCTGGGCAAAAGGCCTACTGAGAATTCTTAAATTGGGAATTGTTGTGGTTGTCAGGGTATAATACCAAATACTTTTCCTAAGCCTATACTAGTTGAACATAAGAGAAAAAAACATGAAAATCTAGAAAGGATTCTTTCCCTTCTCAGAACAGATGTGGAAATGAAAGATAAAAAGGGAAAACTGTAAGATTAAGAGCAGTGGTACAAGTACCTCCAGGGCCTGGGATTTATCAGGCCACTTACACTCATAGGACACAGGATTAATACATTTAAGCTCTATCTATCTATCTATCTATCTATCTATCTATCTTTGAAAAAAAGAGGGGAAGATGGAGGAGACAGATAGATCAGTATGCCACATACTGGTTCACTCCCAAATTACTGCAAAATAACTGGGTAGTTTTTACAGCTCAAAGTCAGATGAGCTGCTTCCCACAGGATAGACAACTCCACCAGCAAGGATGAGTATGGCTGATACCTGGAGAAAGTTTCGGATGAAAGACACCGCTTTCACAGCGCAGCATAATCAACTAGACTGAGGCAAACAGAGGATCATACCAGGCTGTGCTGTGTGGAATTAAAATCAAGAACTGAAAATTTGATCTCCAGTTTATGTGAAAAACTTCTGATGGCTGCTACTGACAGAACTGCACAGAAACCATGTATATTTTGTTTTGTGTTACAACAGGTCAACGCCCATACAAACTGGCGAAGAGGAAATAGACATGGCCCCAGGGGGATGCGTAGCACTACTCCCGAGTCCACTGGCTACCCTCTGCAATCTGGGACACAGGCTTCCAAACCCAGAGCAACACATGACAAGGACCCACCACAATTGATTTCCTGTAACTCAGACACACCATGTATTCACGTACTAAAGGAAGCCAATACTGTGATACAAAGAACACAGAACAAAACACACATACACACACAAACAAAAGAACAATGAGAAGAGACCCTGGAAGGGTTGGCAAAGGTGATCTGATTCCAGTGTGCCTTTGATAACAGAAACAATGCAACAGTAAGCACAATGGGTGTGTACCATGTTTGCATTTCCTTGTAGCAAACATCCTTTGTGTATGCATGGGAAGACTGGCATGAGATTTCATCAAGTAGTCATATTCTCGCTCTCTCATGCAAAGCTGTCTTACCAAACGTTCATGTGGGTGCAGGCTACAGTAGCTGCTAGACTGGGGAATATGAGAGTTGCCCAACATTCCTCCGTAGCCAGGCTGATTCATCCCACTGGAGGAGCTCCAAGGGTCACTGCTGTGATGGCCATCTGTAAGGACAAAGAGAAGCATGAGTTTTCCGAGGCTGTTGGGCTTGCCTTATAGAATAGGGGGTTTTCATATACTTGAAAATGACTGCCTGCTGTGTATTCATCCTTGTGTCCGTTAGCTGATTACATCAAAAGACAGTCATCATTCTTTCTTCCCAAGTAGCTGTATTTTGTTAAACAAATATAAACATTTAGCCAAGTTAGTATTTTCAGTAAAAACTCTCCTGTGAAAGAACAGAGCATGTTCCAGCATGAGAATCTTTGTCAAGTTAACAAGGCAACTAATGCTAATAGAAATATTTCTTACAATTTCCCTGACTCTTTTGAAAAAAAAAAAATCAAGTAGAAAATAAGAACTCTGCTAAATTTTCAGATAAAAATTAAGTACTTGTGGCATTAAAGTGGTAACAAATTTATAAACATTAAAAGCAACAACTCAGATTTTAAAGGTCAGATTTCACTTTTCTAGCAGGTATAATAAATAGAATTATGATTACCCAATGGCATTGGGAAAAGAAGTCACAAATAGCGTAGTTGTTAGGTAATTTGTTTTTATATTTTTGATACATAGATATGTAGCTAGCTTATATTTCAGCAGGAATTCAAAGTGCATACATTATCATAAGGTAAATACAAAATTAGATTATTTTGAGAGCCTCTGGCTTTTTAAAAACTTCATGAGTTTTAAAGAGGCTTAATATTGTATGAAAAAATACATGGAATGTACTTCAATATGAAGTAACCTTTTGTTCACAACACACTAAAAATAGTCCTACAGACTTTCATTCCTATGTCTGCTGATCTAGAAATTAGCAACAGACTGTCATGTTCAGACTTAATTTCTCAAATTTGAGGGTGGAGGAGGGATAATATATATTACCTTTGATACTATTCTTTCCACCCTTCTCCCAAAAGTTTAACACTACATACTGAGTGCTACACACACCCTAAGCCATCAGCTGCATGTTAAATGTACAGCGGGTATTATTACTTCCTTAAAAGCAACATTGTTTTTACCCTACCTTTTTTATTCAATAAAAGCCTTCTGAAAATATAGGCAATGGCCAAGTTCAATCCAATACTGTACTTCAAGATGTTTTGCTTTTCCCCAGTAAGATTTTACTTCTAAAATGTAGACGCTCATAAATGGGCTAGCTTCGAACAAATAGAATGAATCTAAAGAAATTTCCTTTCGGAGAATCATAAAAGACAAATCATGTCTGGTATTTTTTAAAAAAAATTCTGGAGAGCTTAAAATATCACCTAGACAGAGTTCCTTCCATCTTAAGTGTATATTCTCCCAGGCCATGAACACTATGGAAGCCCAACAATATATAATTATTTTCTGTGCACATCATGTGAAAACGCAGGTCTTTAAAACAATTAGTATCCATGTATTTTAGACTCAGTTTTTAGATTACAGAAACTTAAGTGTCACTTAAATCTGAAGATGAATTTCAAAGACTGCTAACATTTTTAGTTGATGGCATAGACATAACAAATCAATGAGAGTCCATACTATTGGACAAGAGTCTCCTAAAACATTCTGGTAATGTGATTTGCTGGGCAGCAATACACTTAGGATGGTTAACAGAATACTGTACACAACGCAGAATTACAAATATGTATTTTACATAAAGTACGCTTTTCATGGTAAATTAATATTTATCATATCCCATTATCTTTGCATAATGTTGTTTGTGGAAGAATAAAATTAGACTTGTGCAAATTAATTGTGCTCATCATAAATATCCATTCAATGTTTTCTCCTATGCGGGGGGGATATCCACACACAGACCAGAAAGTCTGGCCCCTACTTTGTGTGTCTCCTATGAAAAGGAGTCCATTATTTTGAGCATTTGAGGCACCTGGCCTCTCTGGCAACCGGCCGCACAAAAACCAGCCGCTTTCCTAAGCCAAGAGACCAAATCCACCCTCTGTCAACGTTCTCAATGAGGATCTGCTCCAAGAAATGGCAGCCTCTCTGGGCACTTGCAGTAACATCACTTTTATCTTAATGTCACTTCATTCCTACATCTGTTAACTTAACTGCTTGTAGCTAAAAATGCCAAGTCTTCAATCATGGAACATGAGGCATCCAGGTAGCACATTCCTCTGTGTTCCTTTGAGAGGCTTATCCAGAACAGGTCCACAGAGGCCAAGGATCCTTGGGAAGGGGAGATCCAGGAGAGTGGAATGCTCTGTTCCTGAGGAATCCATTCACTTCAAGTTTAGACATGCCCAAAGGAAGTTTACTTGGGAATTCAGAACCAAAAACAGCTTACTTTTTGAAGGGAAAGGTGAATCCCTTCTGACCAGAACAATTCGGTGTGTGTCCATCACAGTGTACAAGAGTCACAAAGTTGCCCATCTGGCACCTGCTATCCAATGTACACACCTCTCCCTATGGCATGGACCTTCACAGATTAGTACAATGAATGCAATGTAGTAACACTTTACAAAGGTACACTCAAATATGGCCTCCATGCCCAGGCAAAAAGTGAGTTCTGTACACAAGGGTTTTTTTTAGTAAGTTCCACACCTAAATAAAGCCAGTAACAGGATCATTGCATTTTCAAAGTGTCTCGGGCATTTCAGGGATATTGCTCCTAGGTGCACTCTCCAAAACTTCACTTCATGAGGCAGCTGCCATGATTTGAACCATCGCAGTTGTTTCCAAGTAGCACAAAAAGGTTACATCAGCAGAGGCAAGACTGTCAACACTGGAGTCAATGAAAATAAAGAAAAATATTTGCTCTTCCTTGAAGCTATATTTATCCTGAAAACATGTTGAGTCTTCCATCCTTAATCAGTTAGCATGTAGGGATAGAGCTTTCATTCTGTGATATGCTGGGCTATAGTTGGGTCATTTAATCTTAAATGAAATCCTTGATCTTGTGTATAAAATGACAGAAACTTTCACATAATCTTATACATGCAGAAGAGCAATTTGTTCTCTGTTGGTTAAATCCAGGACACTCAAAACATCCTGGACAATAAAACACGTGACCATGCAACACCTCCTTCTTGCAGGTGGTTATGTGTGGAGATGGTAGGCCCTGGGAGCCCAGCAGCACTATCTGCTCTAAACAAAACCTGTCTACCTAGCCTTTCCTCCTTCACGCTCCAGTGGCATTAAGATAAAAGGAAAGGTCATAGGACAGTTTCAATTAATTAATTTATGTTCAGAGAATTCAATGAGCACATCATGACCATCGAGATCCCCCACTTGCCTACTATGCCATTTCTTTTGCTCCATTCATGACATGATAAGGTCAAGGAAGACTGCTTGGTAAACTTGCCATGAGAAGCAGGGTCTTACCTTGCATGAAGAAGGAGCTAGGGAAAGTGCTGGCTGCTGGTTTTGAGGAAGGGTAGCCTGGCGAGTCCCTATTGTAGTCGGCAGTGCTGGCTGATGGGGCGTAGACCTTAGGAGAAAGAGACAAGTGAGTTGTGCTTCCTGCACTGACCAAAGCATCTCAAGGTCCATTTGTTGGTACAAAATGCTCCATGGTTAATCAGATCCAGTCTCAATCCGATCGGACCTAGAAACAGCCCCTTTTGGAAGTCAGCAGAGCAGTGAACAAAACTAATGGCTCAGTTTTTCTGTGTGACGACCAGAACACGAACAGGTAAGAGATTTTCTAGTGACAGGCAAGAATCTTGCAACTGTGTGTGCTTGTAAATATACTCTATAATACCCAGGGGGCAACACGTGAGCTCAAGCATTCATTTAAAAAGCAACACGAAACACAATGCTGAACTAGAGTATGTGCAAAGTGGAACAGAAAGACATACATGAAGCTTCTTTCAAAAGTTAGCCGAAAAACTCTACTTTTCAATTAAAATCTCCACTTCAAGCAAGGGAGGGAGGAGTGGGGCAGGGAAGGGGAAGTGAAGGCAAAGAGGAAATGGAAAGGGGAAGAGAAAGAGGTAGGGGAAAGAGAAGGGATTGGAGAGGAGAGGCATCCAGACTGCAGGGAGTGGTAAATACATCTTGGAATATAAAATTCCCAGTGTCAGCTTTTTCCAGAGATGCTCTGAAAAGGCCACTAAAAGCTGGACCTCGGCGAGACCACCAACACTCTGTGTGCACAGGAAGTAGGGGAGGCTCGTCTTTGGTGCCTATTATATTTGTGTGTACAATAAACAGAAAAAGTGCGCCAAAAACCTAATTTACTTACATTAGTTTACCAATGCTCAAGAGACTTGGGGAACTAGTTCTTTATAAAAATAGCCTGTGTATTTTCTTGTTTATGTTTCCTTTAAACAAGACAGCCTAGTAGAAAAGCATAAATTCATAAGGTATAGTTTAACTTTAATTGGTTTTCCCCTTTGCGTCTCCTGCTAAATACATTTTTTTTTAAATCCCCATTTTCTTTTGCTCGAAAAGTTCCTCTCTCCAGATGGTCGGAAAGACTAAAACACTGTTATCCTCTTGATGAAAATGGATACCTTCCTGCCTCCATTTTGAAGCAGCGGCTCACAAAATTGGCAGTGAGCCTACAGTGATATTCACAGGTCACAGTAAACGGAAAAGAAATTCACCAATAAAAAGCCAACTGCAGGTTACCAAAAAATAACTCCTATTGTGTTTTTACAGTGCACATCAAATAAACACCCAAGAATAATAATATAATTGCTCTCGGGACACCAGAAATCATATACTAAGCATTAATAGAAGGTTTACGATTTCACAAAGGCTAGGTCTACAGCGACAGATGTTGGAAAATACACACACACATCTATACATCAGATACGTGCTGCACATGCCCCCCAGTGCCCTTGAAATGTGGCAAGTGCTGGAGATCGCACAAAACAAAAACAAATCTAAGAAACCTTCTCACATTTCAGAAACATGAATGATTCCTAAGTCACAGAGGATCCTGCATTCTATGTTGCACAAGTCTCTATTTTGTAATTTTCTTCCCATTTTAAATGCATAAACAGCAACTTGCTTCTATGTCCACAGGGCTTAAAATAAGAAATAAATATTTTTCAAGCATCTTGAAGGAACAGAAAATAAAAGCATAGGTCGAGCCTCCAAAAACAAATCAAAGAATTAAGTCTGTCAACCAATTTCAGCTCTTTAAGGTGAACTTTGAGTAGCAAACAGTTTGGGAAATACTTAAGAGGTCTGGAGAGAAGGCTAAAAAAATACTATGAAAACATCACTCGTTCTAGAAAGCGAGAAAGTGAAAATCAGACCATCTCATTCTAAAGTCAGGGTGAGCATAACACCAGCATGACTGTCACATACTGTCATGCCTGTAGCCAGCCAGGTACTTGGTGTAGACACAAGTGTGTCTTATTCTCCAACAAGTACATTTTTTGTAAACTGAAAATAAATGCAGTTCTGTGCTATTAAGTAATCTTACACTTTGCAACAGTTGAAAATTATTCTTTTAAATGAATTTATAGCTTAGTTTTAATGATTTTCTATTACAATATCCTTAAGCATTTACATTATTATAATAGCACTACAGTATGACACCTGACAAGGCTCATTTGCTTTTCCAATTTTGAAAGTCTTGATGTTTCTTCTGGGAGACAAGGAAAACTCATTGGCTGATTTTGGTTATTTTTAAGGATATTACTTCGAGTATGAATTATGATCAAGCCCAACTATCTAAAGATAGCATCATTTATACATACTGCTTGCCTGAAACAGGGTATCCATGAGGTTAAAATGTTCTTAGAGTAATTTTCTACTTTTTTGGCAATATAGCCTTATTGAAGACTTTTAGACAGGGAATGAATTACTATTTATGGTTTTCCCAAAATGGTAACTTTTGCACATCTTATAAATTTTCTTTACATACCAATTCAAAGAACAGGTGCAATCAATTATCAATTCCTTTCCCTTTATAGACTTCACCATTCTCACCCATTATTTTAATAGAAAGCTCTCCATATATTTGCTTAGATAAATACTGAACAAAACTATACCTTTTAATACAAGGAATCAGCAACTTTATTCAACTCCTCCACCTTCTAAAATACAATAATGGAATAGTAAAGGCAAGTTGCTCAAGATAGGGAACTGCTAAAGACATACAACTGCTACATTTTCCCTTTCACCATTTGGTCAGTAATTTCTTTTAAAATGATTGAAATTATTAAGATATTTATGAAAATAAATAAACAGTTTATCAATAAAATTTCCATATTTAAGGGCCTAAAATGATCAATAAGTAGCTTCATTATTTTTATTTTTACTTCTGCTCAGCATTTTGCTAATTTTTCCACCAGAAGATTTCAAACAGGCTTCAGCTTCAGTGATGATATTAAATAGAGTGATTCAACAAGAAAAGGCCACATCCAATTAACTTTATTATTATTATTATTATAGGTATAAGAAATGATTACTAACATAACTGTTAAACACAACAGCTTTTTGTTGAATGAGAACAGCACATATTCCATATCTCTTTCTTATAGTTGGAACAGTTTTAATGCCCAAAAAAGGTCCAAATTCTAGCACAATGTATTGAAGCACGCCCAAAAATGAAACATGAGGAAAGTAGCAGTAAATAAAAATTCACACTTCAATTTTTTCCAATAAGGTGGCTCAGACCACGGTGACTGCTGGCATTTCCCATTCTTCCTACAAGAGCCACTAAAGAAGTGTGAAATTTGTGATGCCAAATTAGAAATGGGGACTCTTGGCTCAAACTCTGAGGTCACAGCACTTGTGCTCAAGTGTTTGTTGAGGAAAAGCTTCATGGAAAACTAAGAGCGTGGCATACTTAATACTCAAAGTCCACAATGGTCTTTTTCTCTTCCATGCCCAAACTGAGGACAGAATGAAACAGAATTCTGAGTTTAGCAAAGTTCTCTAGAAAACAATAAACCTTGAGCTGATGAAGGTAAAAACAAACAAACAAAACACCTTTCATTTTCCAGACTTGATTTGGCTGTCATTTGAGAAGTGCATCTATGGTGCATTAACTACTCCATTCAATGCTTACTAACCTTGAACCTCCGCTTGTTAGTCAACCGGGAAAGCGAACAAGCCAACACAAAGAACAGAAGTTGCCCCAAAGACCTTCCCTCTGATGCTCTCATCCTATCGCAGCACCTCAAGTTCACCGTCAGAGACTTTGCTTGCTTTCCCTTTTGATTTTCTTCTCATTTATTCTCTCCTTCTCCTGGCTTCTTTACTTTTATTCAAAAGGAAAAATCTTGAGAGAGGGAGGGCCAGAAGGATTCTCCTTCTACTGGTTCATTGTCCAAATGGTCACAATGGCAAGAGCTGATCCAAAGTCTGAAACCTAGAACTTTCTCTGGGTTTCCCATGTGGGTAGAGAGGCCTAAGAACCTGGGCCATCTTTTCACTGCCCTATCAGGCCTACCGGCAGGGAGCACACTAAGAAGTGGAGCACCCAGGCTTTGAACCAGCACCCATATGAGATCTCACATTCCAGGTAAAGGTTTAATCCACTACATTATGGTGCTGTCCCAAATCTACGGTGATCTTAATATGAAAATAACAGTTATTTGTTTAGAACTTCTTATGAAACAGCTTTTGTAGCAGGATTTCCAAAAACATTATTTCCAATCTTCATAAGGATCACATAAGCTGGATTCAATGAATAGTATCATGTCTAATGCACAGGACTGAAGTCTCACTGAGCATGTACTGGCTCAAACCAGCCTTGAATTGACTGCTAGTTCCACTAGAATCGTTCTTTCGGGCTTCCATGGAATGAAGATTATTATCTGTAAGATGGGAATAACAATACATACTGGGTAATGCTGTCATGAGGCTCAGATGCTGTACTGCATGTCTAGCAACTGGAATGATACCTTGCACACACGGAGCAGGAAAATAAAAACAGCAGGCATCAGGTTATTGTCTTGCTGCTACCACTTTTATAGTTTGGACAAAAGCAACTCAAGAAGGTCTGGTCACTTGTCCATGCTAAGAATGTTTGAAAGCAGTAAGGCAAGGATTTGACCTTGTCATCAAAACACAATTGCTTACTTTTAAATGGCAAGAAAAGCAAAGGTAGTTTAAACTGTCCAAGATGAAGCTCTGCTTCAGTCACAATCAAAGCACAACTGGTAATTACGTCTTAATGAAAATGAAATATCACAAGGTGTGTTTATAGTTCCTCCAAGGTATGTTAAGTGAGCTGCTTAACAGGGAATGTAACTCTAAAGGATAAGACATAGTTTTGGATCCTGCATCACGAGGAGTGTCATCAGGGAGGCTAAGTGACAGCAACTATTTATTACTTCTTAGTGTACACCCCTCTGTGACTCAGCGACTACCATCTAAATGTGCTACCTCCAGAGGCCAGCTCAGAAACACCAAAACCTTGTGTTTGGACCCTCGCTGAGTTATTGTGCATCCTCTGATAAGCAAAAGATGGCAAAGCAGAATCATAAGGCAGATGCCAAGGGCTGGGCTGCCTCACTCAGC